CCCCAAAACCCCAAAACCCCAAAACCCCATCTGGATAAAATAAATCACAGATGATCAGATTCTAAAGTATTATAATATATATTAAAATCATTATTGTTTTTCTGCTGATCAATATGAGGATATTAAACTTTTTACTCTTGACCAGTTCCCTGACTGTTCTTTCCCCGATTCTCGCCAAACGTGGTGCTAAGCAAGCATCAGATTCAGAGCTACTTAAGTTATCGTGCCTGGTTTATGATGACTTGAGTTTTTACGATTTAAGAGGGTTGGAGTCCGAATAATCCGATTATAGTTTTATAAGCAGCAACTCAAAGCACAATTACTATTTCAATTTATGTGCTTTCACAAATAAAGCTTGCGGTGAAGACACAACCTAAGCATTTGGAATTAGGGTTGATTAGAATAATTAATGCACTAAATTAACAGGCAATAACCTTCAGAGTCTAAACACTTCAGTTGAGGAATACTCTGATGGGGAAAGATATGTATAGCTCAAATTCGCTGGTGGAGATAAATGTAAGGAAGCTGGTGCAACTAATCCAGAAGCCAAGTACAGCATGACTTTGAAATTAGAATGCAAAGCTGATGGCAAGAAGGAAGCACCTCTCAATATCAAGACAGTTGAGGTAACTGACAAATGTGCTCCAATTATTACTGCTAGTCACAAAAATGCATGCCCAGTTTTCTCATCAACTACTTTCACTAGATTCTTTGTTGACAGGCCTTACATTCTTGGACCTATTGCTATTATCTTTGGTATTCTAGTCTCTTTCTAAGGAAGAAAGTTTTTCCCCTGGACTATTGGAGTGATTGGATGCTTTATTGGTGGTGGTATTACCCTTCTATTGTTCTCAATGTCCAGCATTTTGGATTCTATTCAATCAAGCCAAGCTACTGATCAGTCAACCTTCTTTGCTATTCTCACTTTTATTGTAGCTGGAATCATTGGTATCTTTGTAGGTTTCATTTTGTAGAAAATGCTTCATATTGGTGCTGCCATTCTTGGAGCTATTGGAGGATTCTTTATTGGAGTTGCTGCCTACAATATTATCTTCTTCAGCTTAAAGAGTGAGATTCTTTTGACTTCTTGTTCCATTCTTGGATCTCTCATTATGGCCTTCTTATCATTCAGACAATATGATAATATTGTAATCTTTGGTACAGGATTCATTGGATCATACTCCTTTACTAGAGGTATTTCTCTCTTTATCGGAAACTTCCCAAATGAGATTCTTTTCTTCACCTAATTGATAGAGGGAAATGTAAGTGCTACATGGGAAACCTATTTCTACTTGGCTATATTTGTAATCTTGTTCATACTTGGAGTAGTATATCAGAGAAGAATAAGAGTTCAGGATGCTCAGAATAATTATATCAAGTTCTGAACACTGTCTTTGATGCCAGATCAAAATTTATTAAGCAATCAAAGGAAAACACTTTTTTTAATCAGCTATAATTCTTATTATTTGCCCAACCGTTTAATTTATTTTTACCCTATATTATCAATTATGTAGATAAATGGGGTTTTGGGGTTTTGGGGAGATCGGAAGAGCGTCG